TTTTGGAGACGATATAAAATGCCTCGAGGGCACCGTCGCCCTCTTTCTGATTGGAAGCATAAGTTACAAAATTTTCACTCCTGTTCTGGCGGGAATATGGGTCGCCGAATTGACTTCTTCTGATATTTGAGATTGGGCGATCATGAGAAAGCATTTCATGCTCGGAAACCCCGAAGGATTTGAAAGAGGGTAGATGAAAAGCGGAAATCGAGGGCTTAGCCTCCGAAGACCCTTAATCCGCCAAATGAACCGACACTGCACAGCGCCAAACACACACCAAAAGCCTTCGATGGATTGTTCAAGTTAATTGATTTTTTTTGTGATCAGTCATTCAATTTGCACGCTTCTTCAAGATTTCAGTGCCTGAACATTTGTCATATTGTTGCTACCACTCGGTCGTATTGGTGCACATCCCAGCAAAAAACCTGTTATCTATTTGAACATGTCACCTCGTCAAAGCCTACTGGGCTCTATTTTTTGTCACTCACAAATAGTCGGAAACATGCGTGATATAGACGGTCTTATTAACCAAGCTTGTACACAGTGACCTTTAAATTGTGCACAACGATTTGATTGTGTCGTTATTTAATGGCGAAGTGAACACATTCAACTGCCGGCGGATGTTTACTGGAGAATTAGCGCAGACCTGATATGTACGCGAACCCACTTATCCATCAAAATAGTGTCACAAAGTCTGGTTGTACTGACTCGTTAGTTATTTAAGAATCAATGAAGGATCATTGCTAATCGAACGGAATGGGACTGTTTTGCGAAGCACTTGGCAAAACCATTCTATTCAATGCTAGTTCACCTCTTCCATGGATGAGTTGGCAAAGTAAAAGCAATGAGCGCCACGAAACATTTGGTTTGTTGAAGAAGGTATGAACAAAAGCATGCGTTTATTGAAGTGAATAAAATACCGGAAACAAACACTCCCGAACAGTTATAAAACGCGCAAAGATCATTTAGGACGGTGAAAGAGTATAACACAGAAAGTTGCTACGGGTATGAAGAGACCACGGAAATCATGGTGGTATCCCGGAAAATCTATCCCTGAAGCAATCTTATCGTAGGAATCAGTGGTATATTAATGAAAGGAGTAGGGCCTTCACTGCGGAGTCATTTATTAGAGGACACCAACTGAACAGTTGCAGACTATTGAACAGGGAAGCGAGACTCTCGTATGTAACTTATCTATATAAACTGAATAGCCGTCTTCTCCTTGAACGCGTCTTCCTAAACTTTCCTGGATATTCATTGACTATCACTCATACAAAACGATTCTATAAATTCCGTAATAAATCCACTTTCCAATAGACGCAAAGCGGAGTTACGAGACAACATATTACTCGCATATTTCATCAGTAGTATCCACCGTTACACCAGTACGTATGGAAGTGGGACATGGAAAATCCGGTAGAATTGAAAGATGGTGGTTTAAATGTGCATAAACTGGGAAGCGCTACCTGATTGTGAAGTATTAGGTGGTGGATTAGAATTTGTAGTTGGCTGATCTCCCTTCCTCAAGTGTTTTTTCTTTTCATCATATGGTCTCCTCTAGATAAACTATCTTAGACAAGAGGTAACAGTGCCTTATACCGGTGTTGTTGTCAATGCTGGTGGTGGGGTGCGGATCGCCCGGCGCTGTGATTATCCCTTGTGTTTTCACAACAATGTCCAAGTGAACCCTGCGGCTACTGATGAATGCCCGTTATGTTGGTGGTAAAAGGTACTGATCACCTCCTGACTGTCATTTACAGCGTTGTTGCACTGTCTACGGAGTTCGGGAAACGGACAAGTACATCTGAAGCTTAATGTGACAAGTCTTGAATACATATCCAGAGTTCGGACCTGAGTACTCACTTTTCGGAATTTTCCGGAGTGACATTATTTATTTCAGCTTATCATGTGACTTGATTTCACTGCATTACACGAACACCATCTAGGCAGAAGCTTCTTATATTAGACAAAAGAATTCAGGTATGAACTAACGTTCAACTATTTGGTGGGTTACAGTTTTGACTAGAATATTTAATAGGAGTATGTTATGTATAATCAACTTGTTGCTGGCACACTGATGTTCACCACCAGTTTTGATGATCATAGCAGTTCAGGTGTAACACCCTTTCAGTGACTGATGGCCACGTCACCCAAAAGAATGAAGGCTGAGATACCACCAGGGTGTCCAAGCCTAGAAAGTAACAGTTGAGAAGCTGCGGTTCGGTTCCTACCTGTTGTATCGTGGGCCGTCTATTGGTTACGCTTGCACTGAGTCGGCCAGACTACACGATAAGAAGACAGTGAACCCTGGACACTTATGTATTGTCAAGACGAAAACACACAGAGCTTCTGCGTAAATAAATAGAATGACTAAAGATCCAAATATGGTCGTTCACTTGTTCGTTCGGTACAGCCAATGGCGGTGTTCCGGTCTTGAACACTTTCAGCCCCTCTCCGCTGGTCGTATGTTACCAAGCCGTGTTTGGTGGGCTCCGCCAACGCACCTGCCATCCGGAACCCGTGGTACCGATAACGACCCTGGGGTGCGTCATCCTGTGCTTTTTCATGTCTGGGCGCGTCCTGACAGTACCCTAAACTTTCGGTCAGTAATATTGCACCCCAACTACTTGGTCAGCTCGGGCTGTTGGTTTTGACCAGCAGACGATTGTCGTACGGTTTAGTTCATTTCTCGTGGATTGGAGCGACAAGTTCAAGACAACTCAGCAGTTAATGCTCGACCTTAGTGACCAGCAGGTTCGTGGTCTGAACCCAACCTCGACAGCTCAACTGCTCCTGTCCAGACCTGGCAGCATCTTTGCTCATGTGCTTTCTCAGAATGGCGTGACTACGAGGTATCAAAAGGGTTACAGCTGAACAATTACTTTATCTATTGAAGCAGTAGGTGCTAGGCGTCTCACGGAAGGCAGCGTAGTTACAGGGGAGCATATTGCAAGGCTCTATGGCAACAGTAACAACTTGGACACACTGGAGGGTGCAAGAACCATCACAAAAAATGAGGACCGCTATGAGAACCGAAACAACATGAACATGCTCAATTGAACTCCACATGAAGGTGCGGCTCAAGTAAATTTCGCAGCTTCATATTCCTGCTCTTTATCATACTGAGACTGCTTGGAACTGCAATAAGGCCTCTTACCGTTGCGAAATTTTGCTACTAAGCTCTGTGAATCTTGTATCGATTCCGGCTAACATGATATTCGTGCATGAATGGAGATAAAAACAACAGAAGCCATTCTGTTTTTCTGTTCCTACATACTTTCATGCCCAGACACCCCGGAAGTTTTATCAGGTATCCGAGTGATGTCTTGATAGACATTCAAATATGATTGCATGTTAAGTCAAGACCTTTACAAGATTCATATCGCCGGATTCAATGTCAAGATTTGAATACTCCTAAGGGTGCCTTAATGTAGCGTCGGGTCATCCGTGGGTTTCTGTTTCGACATGCTCAGTTTTCCAAATTACTTTATCGAGACATGAACAATTCATGGAAGTCTGAACTTTAAAAAGTATAGATCGAATCAGCATTTGAAATCCGGCCAAATTTCACTTTATGCGTCGGCGCTGCTTAGTCCAATAAGCTAGTTTAAATGATAAAATTTGGCAATTTGTTGCACAGGGTTCATTATAATCATCGGCATCACTTTGTTTACGTATGGTCACAATGTATTCGAAAGCCTTCTTGTACTTGTCTATCTCATTCTGAAGCGCATCTAGATGTAAACTGACAACAAAAATGCCAATTATATCGTTTGGTAACCATATATTGCAGGGTCTTCAGCCAGCGCAATGAATATGTCGTTAGTCGCTTCCTCGGAAGTGAGTCGCACTTAATGTAATTTGGCCGTCAATTAGGCTAGCTAGGTCAAAATTCTATTCTCTATCTCTATCATTTTCATGCCAAGATATCCTGGTATTTTTCTCCGAATATCTCAAAGCGATAAAAATGCAAAAGTGACATGAATGCGGAGATAAGTTAGAATGAAGCCATGACCTCCCAAAAATAGTAACCAATCTCCATAAATCCGTAACTACTGCACGTCTGTCAGTAAATCTCCTCTTTAGGTTCTCACCGAGAGTGAAAGATTCATATCCGGTCATTTTAGAAGTTCGTCCAGACATCTTACGAGAACTCCAAGGCATGGTGAAGAAGATATAATACGTTTCTGGTTGCTGAAACCCCTTCGACAATATGAAAACAGCTTAAGCGAGGAATTCAGTTGGGTACTACCTGAGTCTCCCGTCAAAAACAAATTTACATGCAAATGAGTATGTTTCGCTAAGTTACTTTGAGATAATCATTTGAAAGGTGAACTCACAGTGATGCAGGAGAATGAATGGAACTTTCATTAGAACAACTAATTCCGTGGTGTTTTATGAAACAGTAATAATTTTGTTGCGTGGCAGCTTAAGGCAGGGTATGTGCAGAAGGTTTTGAATCTAGGCGCTTTATTGAGGCGTAGTTTTGGTGAAATAACTAAGTGACCACGCTTGAAGTTCAAATTGAAAACATTTTCTCAGTTGCCTGATGGAAATGGTGATTCATTTTGAGAGTTCACCATAACCGACTCAGTCTAACCCAGATGATTTTAACCGCCACCCGTGGAACTGCTGAGACATTAGCTGCCTTTAATAATCGTAATAACACCCGATCAACTATGTGCCACAACCATTCACAGCCTAGAGATGGTTGCCGGTCCAGGGAAGATGGTCTTTAAGACTCAACTTCTGAGTGTGTTCAAGGCGTTTATCATCTTTTCGTTCAAATTAGTTATCAGAAAGTTAAAGAATAGAGTCTAGCTGAACAACCTCTAGATTGGCCACTCACTTTGAGCCGACTAAGGAACGTAGAGAACTTGAATACTGTGTCGTTTGTACAATGACCTGAGGTATTTTAAGAGTATTCGCTTTTTAAGCAACTCCTTGATTTTTTTTTTTTTAATTATTTGGCTTACACCGACTTCCCCTGTTTTAATTAGGTTGTTCGAAACGATCCAACCCGACAATTGTTGCTGGATTCGACTGGAGATTTGTCTGTATCGACAATTTTTTCGGACCAGTTCCTCCAGACCAGTTTCCGTTTGGGGGCTGAGCATGGTTTCGGTCCAGGTGAAGTACGTGCAGACTTCCCACACTGGTTACGCCGGACCTGGTTACGTATGGGACTGTGGACACGTGACAATGCACCAGTGAGGGAAGCAAACCTCTACGGCGTGCATAATTTCTTCATGGGACTCAGTTTAGATGGATCCGCATTCGGCGTGTTCTTACTAAACAGCAATGCACAAGAAGTTTTGTTAACTCCTTTGCCAGCCATCACTTACCGGGCAATTGGTGGAATTTTGGACTTCTTTATTTTTACTGGACCTAATCCGATGGATGTGACGGCACAGTATTTGAGTCTGATTGGTCATCCTTTACTCCCACCCTACTGGTCTTTGGGATTTCATTTATGCCGTTATGGCTACCGGGATTCAGAAGAAGTGGCCAACACTGTAGAACGGAATGTCCAGGCTGGTATACCACTTGATGCTCAGTGGATTGATATAGACTACATGGATGCTTACCGAGTTTGGACCGTAGACCCAACGAAATTTGGTGGGTTACCAAGCTTAATCCGAGACACTTTTCATTCCAAGTATGGCATAAGAAATGTCCTGATCGTGGACCCAGCAGTGAGTGCAAAGAATGATCCCACGTATGTGCCATTCCTGGATGGTTTAAAACGAGGAATCTTTATTAATGACAGCCGGACAGGTAGACCCATTGAAGGAGTTGTCTGGCCAGGAGACACAGTGTTCCCTGATTTTTCCCATCCCGAAGCTGAGGCATGGGTGTATAATTTGGCCAGTCAGTTTCATAAGAGTGTTCCTTTCGACGGTCTTTGGATTGACATGAATGAACCTGCAAGTTTTGCCGCAGGTTCCAAAACAAACTGCGATCAAACGAGTTCCCTAGATAACCCGCCATTTGTTCCGCTCGTTCTGGATCGTTCGCTCTATGCGAAAACAGTTTGTCCATCGGCTCTGCACCACGATTCAACTCACTATAATAGACACAACTTGTATGGTTATGATCATGCGCGCGTGACTCACAACGTACTCAAACAACTGTTCGCAGGAAAGCGTCCTTTCCTGCTGCGTCGTTCTTCTTTTTTATGGTTNTGCGCGCGTGACTCACAACGTACTCAAACAACTGTTCGCAGGAAAGCGTCCTTTCCTGCTGAGTCGTTCTACTTTTTCAGGTTCTGGACTCTATACGATCCATTGGACTGGAGACAACTTGTCAAGCTGGCCGGATATGCGCGCGTCAATTGCTCAGATAATTAACTTCAACCTGTTTGGTATTCCCATGGTTGGTGCAGATATATGTGGTTTTCGTGGGAATACAACGGAGGAGTTATGTGTACGCTGGAGTCAACTCGGTGCCTTTTACCCATTTTCACGTAACCATAACGACCTTGGCTCGACTCCACAAGATCCTGCCGTATGGAGCAAAGCAGCCACTGAGGCTATACGAGATGCTATTCGGCTACGTTACCTTCTACTGCCGTACATGTACTCACTCTTCTACCGCGCTCATCTGAATGGGACTACTGTGGCTCGGGCGCTGGCTTTTGAGTTTCCTGGTGACACTAATACCCACAATGTGAAAGAACAGTTCATGCTGGGATCATGCATACTTGTAACCCCAGTCCTGGATGAAGGTCGAACTGATGTAACTGGCTATGTGCCAGCCGGATACTGGATTAATCTCTCTACCGGTCGCCGTGATTACAGCACAGGACAAGTAAAGTACTTCCAAGCGCCACTCAATGTCATTCCAATACTGGTGAGAGGTGGTTGCATTGTACCTTTCCAGACAAGCTTTGAAGTCACTAAAGTATCTAGAAAGAAAGGAATAGCTTTGCTGGTAGTGCTTTCCACGATGGATGACGGGACCTCAATGCCGCAGACTGGTACAGCCAAAGGCGAGCTATTTTGGGATGACGGGGAAGCTGACCCACTGAATTACGTGTACGTAAACTTCACAGTGGCTAACAGAGAACTCCATATTGTTCCAAAGCCACTGAATGATAACACAGTACAGAGTATAGATCCACAAGAAACTCAAATTAAAAGCATACTCATAAATGGACTAAGCCAAGAACCAAAACAGGTGTTGCTGAATAGGGCGCCAGTTGCGTACTCTTTCGACGAAAACTTACAAACTGTCCGTGTTGGGTGCCCGGAATCCACGCACTTTACCTCGATGGTCACTGTCACTTGGGAATTCTAGCTCACTGAAAATTTAGTGTTATCTGTGCTGAACCATTTGCCACTTCTCAAATTTCGTTTGATTTATTTTTACCTATCACGGATACAGCAGAGTTTCCATTCCCTTCCTTGAGATTGCTTTCATTCGTATTCTTGCTTTTCTAACAATCTTGTTGTGTTCGGAGTCAACAGTCTCACAAACATCGGAACTCGAAACTCCATTCGGAGTAAACTGGCAAACAGTAGCTTTCTGTTGCATGTGTCCAATTGAATTTTCCATGTAAGCCTCGCGTTTTCGGTCGAATGTTAACGATGCCGCTCATTCAGTCAGGTCTGCCCAAAATGAGTCTATCAATTGCACTATACATGATGAACTACAATGCTAGTCTCACTTGATCAAAACTTCTGACAGGAAAAACGAACAAACAAAAAACAAGACATACTGTCGTTTAGTGCTCCTCAGAGACGTTTTAGCAACACTACTTGACCTCAAGTCGGGCTATGCCCCTTCGTGTTGGACTCAAGGGTCGCCCCTTACCAGTTGTGCTGATATTGTTGGGTGTGGGCAGCTGCAATAACTGTTATGGGTTCTATCATCCTGCGATAGCGAGGCAGAATGGATTATGCACACTTGATTACCTGGTAAGTAGCGCAAGGGATCACGAATCAGATCAGCTGCAAAGCAATCATCTTTTACCCACTTCCATCACAATCCCGGAATGCTGGTCTCACGGTTGGCTCTCACGCATACCGCTTCAATTGGTCGATACAGACCAGCGAAACAGTATGGTAATGTATTTGTACATATGGCTTTTCAGTGCCTACCATAGCGCACGTGTGTAGTGATGTTTACAGATTGGTCTCCAAGTGGATGTGCAACATTCACAGAATTTCTACACAGTGTCGTGAACAGTACTCTGGCTGAAGTGGGATATAATTCTTCATCACTATCCAGCGATTCAAGTGGAAGGGACGCAAGTGTTAATGATTACAAGCCAGATGGTCTTTAATCATATTAGTAGGCTGCTTTACAGGTGGCTGAACAAATTATGTCGTGTGTCTACTGAAGACTGGCCGAACTATCCTGTTTAGAAGCCGACCAGTCACTAACTGGAGGTCAAACGAAGTGTCGTCCTGGGTTCTTGTCTTAACAATGGTGGTTAGGGTCAGTCTGCACAGGTCAGGCTAACCGAAAATAATCACGATTAGGACCAGCGAGTTCAGTTTTTCAAAGAGGGGTGCAGTCGATCGAAACTGCTGCCCAGACGCAAGGAAACCAACACCGAATGGACTATTATTTTTCACTTACTTACGGACTTGGAGTTTGGAAATGGCTTTAGATTCTGAAATTCATGGCCAAATAGATTGGTGTTTCGTTGACATCGGGTAAAGTAGTCACAGAGAACAAATTGGATGCACTTTATCCTCTTAGCATGACCGATGAAACCGGCGGCAGGGAGGTATTTTCCATAATATCAACCCTGTCATAACCAGTCTTCATGCATCCCTAACGCAAATTTACGACAATATCGTCTCGCATTGCACTATATCCATATTATTAGTATTCGCAGCAGCACAAGGAACAGCTGAACTAGCACAGTTTCTGTTCATTCAGAGGTATTTCAAGATTTCGATAAGTTGGGGGTACAAGTAACCACTTATACAAAAAAATCAGTGTTTCCTTGCCAATCTCGTTTCTTTTTGCGTTGCAGGGATACTATTGAGACCCAAAAAGTGATCTGTCCTGATCGAATTCCTGAAACTAACGCCAGTATGGCCGAAACTGACTGGGAACCACCAACTCCGTCAAAATCGCTTCAGGGAGGCCGCCGGAAAAATGAGCTATTGATTGGACATTCACTCAGCTAATCGGTGATGACTAGCGGTGCACGATTTCTCAGGCGTGACCTAGGAGCGATGCCATCGATAGGACAACCTTGATCCAAGTTCAGAAGTGCGCCCTATACACCGCGACGATCCTGCACGTTTGCACTGACTTGTTCGCAGTAGTACTGCTGTTTTTTTATTGGGAGAATCTTTCCCTCCTGAAGCCTGAATTGGCAATTAGTTGCAGCAGTTGCTTTCGCCAATAGGTCTGAATTACGAAGAGCCTATAACTCTAACCGAGTTGACCATACAGCGTTCTCAGTGTTAGCACTACCACCAGTCGGACGCAATTACTGTTCGCTGAATATATGGCATTTCTCACTCTGTATGCTTCGAAATAAGCCGAGTGAACGAGTGATTGGCCAACGGGAACACTTTCATTTCAAGTCCACTGACTCCGATTTATAACAGTGAAAAAGTGATGAATCTGCTCTGGACATTGTGTCTTGCTTTATCCATAGGAGTTGTCCATGGACAACATTTATTCCAGAAGGATATCGCCCTTGTGGAGACGTGGATCGGTCAAGGTGCTTCTACCATGAGGAACATCCAATAACACATTTAGAACTGAAAAAAGGCCTGACATTGAAGAGAGAAAGACCGTGGTACGTTACTGCCAGCTTTCGAAATGACCAAGGGTTACAATTTCATCTGCAAGATAGTGTTCCACTCTGGTAGATTGGCGTAGAATGGAGAACTGTTTACTTTGTCTACTTTGACGGGGGCACCAGAAATATTAACTGGTTCTTCAAATTATTTCTAATGTAATTTAAGTCATATAACATTATATTTAGGATGGAATTTAGGTTACTGGAGGAGACCTAGTAGCAGACAGAGTACACTGCACCATTCATGTGAAATGCACCGATTAACTTTCACCCAACCCTAATGAATGAAGCAGCGGAAAGTTTAGCGAAATGCACTCATTTGCAAACTAATTTCGTTTTTGCGAGAGCCTCCTCTGGAATCCAGCTGAATCTCTCGTTTGTGATGTTTCCAGGCAGCTGAATGTGCTGCACCAGGCCGTCTCCTGTTTCCGTCGTTATGATATTCGAGATATCGTGAAACATGTATATTTGTAATGCACTGCCCATAAGGTTGCTGAAAAATCGTCGACAGCCCACGACCGGTTTCGCCTTCTTGCAACTCATTAGGTAGGCGCAGTCCCCGAGTTTCCGCAGTCGTTTCTGTAGTAGTGCATTACAAATATACGTGTATCGCAATGTCTCGAATATCATAGCGACTGAAACATGAGGCGGCCTGGTGCAGCACATTCAGTTGCCTGGAAACATCACAAACGAGAGACAGCTGGGTTACAATACAGTCTCTCAAAAAACCAAATCGGCTTGCAAATGAGTGTATTTCACTAATTTCGTGCAATTTGGTTTCAAGTAGAACCTAATGTTGACGGAAACTCAGGGACTGTGCCGAACTGATGAGCCCCAAAAAGGGCTAAACCGGTCGTGGGATGTCGACAAATTTGCAGCAACCTTATGAGTAGTCCATTACGAATATACGGCGGAAAGTTTCTTCGCTTTTACAAAAGCTCGTTGGTAGTACTGCGAGGCATGCAGCAGAGAGATTACAATTTCAAATACTTGGTCCCTTTAACTAGAGTTTCATAACCAGATGTCCTGTCGTACGCTAACGCAATTCTAAGCAAACCAGAAGGCAACAAATCAGCTCGCGGTTTAGTGATCTAGATATATGATCTTCATTCCACTTTTGACGGACAAGCACGTATTATTGCCGGTTGTGTATTGATTTGGATTCCGTTGCATTGCTAGACACGTAACTAAATTTCAATCCAGTAGCTTAATCCACAATACTTTTAAGTGTTCTCGGCTTTGACCAGAAGAAACTGAATCAAACCACTTGGAGTCAACTTCCCGTGGTACCAGTTATGAGTTTCCTTATTACAGTCCATTCGCGAGATCATCCCTTGTACGAGGTGTTCAATTCTCAAGCCCGCTAGGCGATATCGCAATCAAGGTAGGCAGATGAGTCGGACTTGGTCTTTCATCAACCTCGCCCATGTCAAGTAGTGTTCAAATCCCCCATTTCTGGTAAACAGTGATCCTTTTTGTTAAACAGGGTAACGAAAACAGCCGGATGTTTTTTTGCAATGGATTTTCAACATTTTGCTCACCCACCGAAACACATCGGTCCATTCTAGGGGAATGTCTCAATTTTGGAGGAACAAATTAGGGAACCACTGTATTTGACAATCTATTCATTGCTCTTGAGGAAATGCTGCGGTGTTCTCTTTATCTCCGTTCTGCATACCGCTGGAAGCAGGGACTGTAAAAATACTGGATAGTGATTTTCGATTCTCGGCTAAAAGCTTATTGAAGTTTGTCAACTTCTGAACCCTAGTGTTGCACGTACTCTCCTTGTAACAGACAACAGTGAAGAGCGCTTGCACATTTTCCTACTTCTGGTTCCGCTTAAAATGAAGCTAGAGTAAATCAAAGTTATGGGGTCCTTTGCTGTTAACGATGACACGGTTACACAATGATTCTAAATCCACTCAGGGCTTTTCAATTCATATGTTACAATGTTTCGCAAATTAGTTGGGTCTCAGAAGATTGCTTACATTCCTGTTCGGAATGAGCAGACTGTATATAGGTTCTCACCTATTTACAAGTGAGGCATTTTCTTGTGAGAGCTGAATGTACTGCGACGATTTTGCGAGTCTTAACTTCTTTTCTGGTGTCTTCTTTGCTCTGGATCGAGCCCCATAACCACCAATGGCCCTCAAGGCAGTCAAAATTCTGATAGCTCGGTCATTGTTTGCTGAGTTGCATAGATTTTTTGTTTTTGACGGGACCAATATTTCATTACTGGATCACTGTGAGAAACCGCCCTGATGTTAACGCGCAGTATCATCGAATGCGAGCTGCCTTAGTTCTTGCTAAGTGGAAATACCTTATTTACAAAGCAAAATAACTAGATTTTGTTCTTGGATGAAGATGTTCTATATGGAAGTGGTGTTTTACAATAGACCCCTGTACATCATCATTCTACAGTGGGAGGTTGTATCCACTGTAGTGTTTGAACCGCGGATACCGTCCTAAAGGGGTTTCTCTGGCTCCTCAGAAACTGAACGATGAGCCCTCTCTGAGAGTAATTTGATCTTGAGGAAACCAAAAAACGTCCTTCACAAGTGGTGCTAATACCTCAAAGTCTTATACAGTTCCAAGAGCCTACTGAGGTTCATTGGGCACAACTTGTCCGTATAATAACGAAAAATGGTTGAATAAAGGGAACGGAAATGTGACCCGAAAAGCATTGCTGGCATTCATGTAATGAAACGCAGAGACGCGGAGACAAGCCGGAGAAACTAGCCATATTATTAACCATCAGAATTTATAAGAATTAGAAGGTTCCTAGAAGATATGCAAAAGGGAAATGCAAACGGTTACTACCCGAGTGATCGAATAGCATCAGTAACTTATACCAAACGGGTGTTCGTGCAAGGATTGCCCGTTTTTCATGCCCACCCCATTCGTATTGAAAGCCTTGGCTGTTAACATCCGTGAATAACGTTTATTGCACCAAGTGGGTAATCATGAAATTTCACATGGGCTTCAGATAAATTGGTTACTGAAAAGATATAGTACAAAAAGTAGATGAATAATTGGCCTCTCTGGCGTTCGGAGACAAATACCGTTGCATCCGGAGGTACTTCCGAATAAAGGTTCTTTTTGGACTACTGAGACATTAATAGTAGCGCGTTCACTCTGTAAGTGTGAGGGTGCTGTCGCGGCTGTGCCTTGTTCGGTGGTGCTTCAGCTAAAACAAAGACGGTATAAAGGCAGTGTAGCTGATGAAAAGTGAAGTTTATCTGATAGATTCCTGATCTGTTTGTGTTTACCATGCAATATTTCCATGCCGCCAATAGAATGAACACAGGTGAGGAACTGGGAATCCACGCAAGGGTTGTGAAAAAATTTTGGTCGCAGGACGGTTTCATTTTGACTCACCTTCGTGGAACATGTGAACAATTAATGAAGGCCACAATAAAAAGCAAAAAGGCAAGAGCTCTCTTTGTCAGATCCTTCTGAATTGGTATTATGACCAATAAAGTGAGAATTTTCCCTTCCCTCTTCTTGGGGGCGATCGGTGAACGCGCGACCATCTACAATGGTTCTGGTCCAGAATTAAACGATGAGCTTTGAAATCGTATCGATGTGCATTTGAGCCCATAGAAGTGCACCTTGTGATGTTTCTGCTTCTCTAGAGCAGCCGGTTTTACCCAATTTTTTTCACTTATCACTGCTGAGGTTGTAGCCTACCAACACGTTAATTCCCAACAGTGCATGCTCATCGATACAAACGTGTATATGAGAATGTCGTTAAGTTTATTCAAAAGCACGTCGTCAAATCGTTTTCGCATCCGAATAAATAAAGTCGTAATGAAATTTATCAGAATTGAACCGAAGAACTGAAGCGTAAAAAGGCAAGTGACAAAAGTCCTAATCAATATCTCCATGGAAAATATTCAAACGAATGACATCGGATGACGTTCACTGTGGGTTGTACAAAAAATAAAACTTTAACTATTTTCTGCAAAATGCTTGTTGATGTGGGGAAACAGGTCTCTGTTAATTGAGATTACCCCATTAAATACTCGTTCCGACTACATCTATCTTCCTCCACCTATGCAACAAAGTTGGCTGCAATGAATGTTGTGGCCTGACGTGTTTCCTTCACTTCTTTGTTGTCTTTTGTTGCTTCACGCATTTTCCGAACACATACCCGTTCTTCCGTAACATGAGTTTCAGCATGAACCATAAGAATAAACACCAGATGTGAAAGTAAGCCAAACCTCTGGAGAGTCCTGGTCAATAACGATTTGGCGTAACCATATCATAGAAGCAATCGCAGTGGGAGAATAATTGTTTCGGATAAACGGTGATCGCCTGGTTGCACAAGCGGTTCATAGCTAACCCCACGTGGCAGTGTTCATTGTGCGTGGAAGTCATCCCTGTGTTCAGAGTGAGAGGCGCATGCCACTCCACCATTCAACCCTATGGCCCAACACTTACTCAATTTATGAAGCCCACGTAGAAACATTTGAGTTGCTACACTGTTCCAGGGGACCAGTAACACTATCATGGAATGTCATGCACAAGCAATACTGTGGACTCATTTGCGTGGGAGGGAGTTCCAACGTAAGACAGTAACATTTAAAGTGTCAACTCTATTGGCTTGATGTGACCAAGGCGTTCGGACAGTGGCGTGATAATGACCACCCATTCCGGTACTCAGGGACGGAAAACGGCCTGTCGCTTTGTCATAACTCATGGTGTACCGTCGATGTCCTGATAACCGTCTCAGTTTGAACCTCTCAAAAACGTACTAAATGGTGTGTGTGATCATGACAGCTTTGCGGATTTGTACTGACTCTTGCAAATTGAAGATGGTGAGTTCAGAATGGAGGTTTATATATCAATGCCGCCGCATAAACCACGACTGTATGGTGACAAATGGGGCCAATGCAAATATGATCAGGAAATGAGCGATACCACACAGCTTGATGTTGCGGATGAAGTTTAGTGAAGTTGGAGGGTGGGTATACAATACAACTGCAAGAGCTCTGAAACTTGATCTCTCCCATCCAAAAACCCCAAATGTGTACGACTATTATGTTGGCGGTGTATTGTAGCGTGCAACAGCTGACCGCGGTATGTCCCTAATGAAATGGTCCGTTTGTGGAGGACACGCTATAATGTGAACACGGAAACTGGGCGTTGTGGGACATTATCGTTCCTTCCTGGGTGATGTCCACGTGATTCTCCATGAGTGTGGTTACAAACCTTCCAAGATGTTACACACAATCAACACTGATGCACTGGATTGTTCTGGCTTATCTGTCGTCGTGTACTGAGCTTGGGTTGAGTGATTTTCGCAAAAGATGATGAGTCCTGATAAGTAGTCATTCCAAGAAGGCGGCCGATTGTGTTTATTTCAGTCAATTTGGAAAGCGTAAGCACCCTGATGGTCACCGTTTCCCCTATGGACATACAGCTTTTCCTACTTTTTCCTCTGTACACTTTACTAGACTCCCTTTCCTCCATGGTTCCGTGACAGTTGAACACCACAGGTGTTGCTCTCCACGCTGTTGCAATTTTAGGACACCAGCGTTGTTACACATCAGCTGTTTAATAGACACCAGTGAAATTTAGAGTGCCTAGAGAGGCTTTTTTCACCTGATACGCTTCGTACCTCAGCGCGATGTGCCTGATGTTCACATTTCAAACGAAATAACCAAACTTGATGTTTTAGTTTTAGGCCACCTGAGCACCATTTTACCAGGCTGGTGAATTCGAACCTGACAAGCTGTAACAATGGAACAAGTTTTGTGCGGTCAAGAAAAGCAGCGACCTGGCGAACATGAAATCGTGCACATCATTCAATCGGCGCTTAACGAAGATCGTATGGGGAGATTCGCACGTGACCTAATAGACCATAACCGTTTGCTACGTTACCGTTTCGTGTTCAGCGTACGTCACCCGCGTCGTCCGCGTTTTCTTTGACCCAGTTGGTCGCCACAAACTAGTCACATGTACCGAACAGCTACAGCGTGTAAATCAGCTGTTAGAACAACAGCAATAGTAAAAAAGCCGTACTAGTAATAAAAATAGTAATAAAGAAGTAATCCCGGTAAAGACCAATGCAGCCGCTAGTAACAACTAGACGTTTAGATTCAGCATACGGTTTACTTGCGTGGAGGCATACTCAGGGCCTCAAGGAAATGATGATACAGTCATTTCCCATGATCGAGTTGCGTAATTTTTCAGTCCTCCAAACAAATCGCCAGAAGCTTTCTGTCAGAAATGACTACTTGCGTCGTCCGGAAGGCAAATATCATGTTTTTTACCTTCAATCTTATGATTGATCAGTTATTAGTGACAATTTGTTTTACAATAAGAAAGAAGTGAGTTCAGGGGACATTGGATTTGTTTTCAGCATCAGCAAGTGTCAGTGAAAGGAGAAACACTTGTACAGGAGTAAATCCATTCTTTGATAGGTGTTATTCGTGTGTGAATGACAAGAATCCATAGATGGGTTATGCATGCACCTCAGGTTAAACAAGTTTTTCGGTTCGAAGCATGTACGCTAGACAGTTTGTAATAATAGAACTTACACAAATAAACGTCTAAACAGTCTTTATAATTTGCTCACGCTGCATGTGCCGTGATTAGGAAAATCCCAGGGAAATTTCTCAGTAACCTGAGTGGCTTATTTCGTGTGGATTTATTGGCGGTACAGGGCTATGGATACTCCATGTCTAGCGGCCAGCCAATCGAAAATTCTGCTTTGGTAAGCCGATTAACCGCTGATACCCATCCAGGAACACATCGCTGCAATAAGAGTGTACCCCATCATGGTGTGGTGGTTTGTGTCCCCATGACACATGGAGCTATACTGGGGAGTTCACTTTGACACTAGCAGAGTTCCTCATACCGGGTTGGTCAGTGGATAGAGATCTAATGAATACAGTTTCCTTGTCCTCCAGGTTGGGAGCTGGAACAGGCACGGCCACTTGTCTCGTGAGAAACATGTACTAGTGTAGTATCATGCCGGCACCCACTCGCTGCCCCAGTGTAAGGTTTTCGAACAAAGGGCTTTGCTGAGGACCCTAATCGTCCTTCTGTATAGGTGTGGCAGCTGTAACAGTATCGCAGATCACATACAACCAGAAATATTATCTTACCACTCCGGCCTTTGCGTGGTATCATCAGCTAGGTTGCCTTACATGTTGCATGCAGCATGGCAGGTAAGCAAAAACTTGTTACTGCTCACACATTCGTCCTTTCGTCTACATATGCTCCCACCTACCCAAAGCCCCCAATGTGAATGAATACTCCTTAAGTCTTCTTTTCCCTTTGGGTTGACGTGACCCTGTGCACTCAGCTGGAAACAATGTAGGGAATGGAGTCTCATAGATGTCAGTGGCATTCTTTCTGGTGATTTGTTTTCAAATGGACTGGTTGGACGCTTAGAGGTAAAAGTACCACAGAGTTCTTGCAACAACCTTGCACTAGGCCCGTTCTTCGCCCAATATTTTCTCTCCTCTTCCACCTAGAACTTGAATAATAATAAAATTGACTTTTCAGTTGTTCGGCAGTGAAGCATCAGTGATAACACTGAGGTTTCTGCCTCCGATAATCGTGAAGATGATGATGATGATGATGATGATGATGATGATGATGATGATGATGATGATGATGATGATGATGATGATGAATATATGCGTGTCTACAACCTCAGGGCATGTTGTCGAGAATCAGCCGATCTCACATCACTTATCTGATAAGGCAGGCTGACTTAACATATCAGGTGAAACATGTCTCATCTATCAATTCTCTAAAAAGCAGCACCCTCTGGGTACAGTGTCACAAAAGTTACCGTCAATACGGTGCTTTGTCCTCTAACCATAAGACCAAGACGACTGACCTACATAATAGACAAAAAGCTTTGAGCAATTACATCTTTGTACTTCCATGGAAGTGTAAAAAACGATAAAAGGGGGGCACGTTAACACTCAAAATTGAACTCTGTGTTCCTTGGAAAAGCCTCTCTCCAGGGTGCTTAGGTTTTCGCCTTCCTACGTGCTTCTATTCAGGAACCTGCAATACAGCAAAACTACTCTTCAGCTTTTATATTACACTTCAAAATAATTTGACGTAACCGTATAGAAATCATTTGATCTGAGTGTAACAAAATACTAGTGTAATGGCGCATATTACTGATGTGAAGTGAGAGTAGTACCGGGTGGAAGGTTGAGTTGGAAAATACTGAACCATTTTACATTGATGTGAAATGTTCAAACAGCTTCTAGGATATCTCAGGACTCTTGAGGACGCTGCGGAAATAAGGTTTTTACTTTCGTATCTGATGGCTTTTAACCGGTTATTTCGCGTCTATTGATAAACATGTCCGTATTTGAGGCTCTTTTCCTTTTGCCAGCACTCAGTGGAACTTACTTTAACCGCCAGTATGCTGTAATCCTTCAGTTCTGCTACCATTGTTAGGGAGAAGCCAAGACAGCAGATCGCGAGCATCCACTCAGCAAAGCTACTGATAGCATGGTAGACATAACCCTGTAGGAGAAGATAGGATGCAAAACTCAGTACACAAATTTATCAAGCGGTAATCTCGATGTAATCTGGACAATGTAATCTCGTTAATCTCAGCGTGGCGTCAACGAGGACAATTGCAATGTAATAGGTGGCAGGAGACGCCAGGCGCAGTAAAGGCCGGTCCTCAAAGCACACCAACTTAGTTTGGTTCCTTAAACCCTTTTCTCAATTGAAAGGCCTTTTCAGAATGGAATCCGAAAAGTCGACAAGGGCAAGTCACATTTCCATGTTTACATGTTCTAACGGAATGACAAATTATGTGCTTTTGGAATAGGCACATTTACACTCCTTCAATCATTCCTTTTGTACACTCAAATATACTTTTTACTTCATAGACAAAAGAAACAAGCTGTGAGAAGTGAACCCCGCCGAGCATATATTGCTTGAGAAGAAAAGATGACAGGGTTTTCGCGTTTATATCAGACAATTCAGTCAAATTATTTCAACGAATAAGCAAATTGTGCGCAACCTTTTTCTGAAAAAGAACGGTAAGTATTCTAAAGGCAAATATGGTAGTGTATGGAAATCTACTGACTACTTCACCATTGGATGTAATCAGTTTTTAATTCTCCCACATGGTCACAATTTTCTGGGTAAGATGTTAACGGAACATGTAATGCACGGTGGAACACTGTAGCATACACTAACCAGACAAGATGTAGTAGGCTCAAATTTACTACACTTAACTCAAAAGAGCTCATTTTTTCTGGTTATTGGGCGCGTACGTAGCGGCTGCACATGTAGAATTTGGAGATTCACGCGACATTTAACATGGACGGTTTGCGTAACGGAATGCTTCGAAAATGTATGGCCTATAAGAGTTCAGGTCCGAATCAGAAACCACGGCGAAGTAGGGTTACCAAGTGAAACCAGTGTTAACAGAAGGCTACGACAAACGAATACAATGATTCCTTCAACACAGACCATTTTCAGGAGGCAACGTTTCCTCAGAGAGGTCAAAATAGCGTTTACTATCAGCTTGCTTAGATGTAAAATAAGTAGAAGGCCAGTCCCCAATGAAGAGGCCAAAATGCCCTTTTGACCATGGAATTCTAACTTTGAGGCCATACCAGCTGTGCCATGCGTCCAACTTCAAACGTTACGGAGTTTCTTATATGGTGTGTCGTAAAATAGCTAATTTTTACGAGCTTTCCTGTAAACGAATGATGCCAATTGCGGATGTGGGTGGTCTTCGTTTTGGGGTAGTGGCGGTTAGTACTCACTTACTTAGCCTGCTTTCTTCCAACCACGTTGAAAAGACTTTTCGTCAATCTCTATTTTTCCCCGCGCCAGTGAATTCCATCGAGTTTTCCACTGAAACAGCAAACTGGTTTTATTTCAGCCTGTTGGATGACTTTGGTCCTATTCGCAAAATTCACTCATTTGCAAGCAAATTTGTATGATGTGATATGATATTCCCCAGTGGAATGTGCCGCACAAAGATTGCTTTATCCTTCATTTAGGACGATATTCGGGAGATCATTATCATCATCATTATCGACAGCATGGCATCAGTGTTCAACACCGATGCTTCACTACCGTACACTGTCTAATATAAGTTGACTAACATGATGATATTCAGCAGAAATGCCTTGTACAATGAGACAAATGCATGGGTAAGTATATCAGAGCCGATAGAGGATGAGTTGCACCTAATACTGACTGAGCCGAATTGATTACAAGTTACCGGAAGATGTTACCACTAACAACAAGTCTTTTCTGTTGCGGCTGGTACTAAGTGATCAGGCAGGTGGTAAAACATTCGGATTTCACGACTAAACGAAACAACTGCTGCTATCAACTTGTTTCTTTGTGGCAGGCTGTCTTCACCCACAGGTGTCATACTGCCCAAGAACATCTCAAATGTTACCAGTTGGCTAGTGGTAGAATATGAAGCAGCGGATACGATGTGCCTGGTTACGGTACTCATCCAAGTAACATTTATCCTGAATATATTGCGTGATGGAATCTCCGAAGTGTTTCACAATTTAGAACAGTGTTCACTCACCACAATAATACCACAATGCAAAAATTCTTCCTCACAGTTGAGGATATCGAATCCATCCAGTAGATAGGACTTCTTTAAAATTAGATGGGATTCAATCAGTTTCAAGGTTGTTTCTCTAAGGTGGTACATCTCCGACTATTGTTCTATGTAGCGGCCTCACGCTGAAGGGATATGATGAAGAGAATGGTGGTCTATTGACAGTTTCTTCAATTCTCAACATACTGCACGGTGATGTATGTAAGCCACAAACCTTCAAGCTTGTTTTAAAGTGCTGCCTGCACCAAAACTACGGGACACTTGTCTTCTTCAACGGAACCTACAGAATTTCTCGCAGATTTGCACGAAATTTCTATGTTCAGAAAAGAAAACCTACAACGTTACAAATCCGAAACGGATTCGGTCGACACTTTTAGCCTATTCTCCGACCCTCATTGCGGAAGAACCGTGTTTCCATCATCATGACCGAACTAGAAGGGAGTGACTGCTACATCATAACATCGGATATCCTCTGGGTCGTCGAGCCTCCTGTCCTCATCACTTTACTTTCTTTCACTAGAGTATAATGCACAAAATCCTTGTGAAGCCGGTCTTTCGTTGAATATATCGACTCATCCCCAAAGGTGACCAGTAAAGTTTGCAACATTGAAATGTATGTCACCAAGATAAGTGGAAATATAATGCATAGGTGAATTCACTGATCGTCCTTTCGAAGTTGATTTTAAAGGGAGGGGGATGTCTGCATCTTCTCACCGACTAGAATGCACCTGTAGATTGCATTTGAGGTTTTTGGACGGTGTGCGTTCAATCATTGACCTTTTTCTCAGTGGGTGAATATAGATGGAAAGTGGGTATCCAAACGGCTTGCGAGCTAATCATATGGTAACGGAGCGTCAATTGCTCGACAGTCAAGGAAACAACAAACAATCCTGTTGTTTGAAATGTCACGCACGATTGCTAGAATCTACAGCTCGAGCAGAACCTATCTGAGCCCATTAGTAGGATATCCACACTGGAAAGCACGGGCCTACGAAGACCAGTGCTCAGCATCGAGAACAGACTTCTCACCGAAAATAGGTTATTCATTATTGACGAGCGTATGAAAGTGGGTCGTGCGTTATCACACAAATTTAACACAGATTTGGTCGTTTGATTTAATCCACCACTATATCGAAAGCCAGTTTGGAGGCTGCCACGTCACGCAGATTACACCATTATAGTACGGGATAAGAGTATAGCAGAGTGTGTCCATCACTTTTCTCGATCGATCTTTCAAACAAAGATTGACGGTTCGAGTAGACCTTTTTATTGAGCCAGAAACCAACGCCAACTTTTGCGTGCTTTCAGGATAAGCGAGCTCACACCATGGTTAAGTGTCCGAAACCAGTATCCGGTAGGCTGTGAGCGCGTGACAGATTTGAATCAACACATCAACACGTAGGCACGTGACTTTCGGATTGCGTGAGCACGTGATTGACATGACTGCAACCTAGCGTTAGGATCGAACTGCTGGGGAGATTTCCCTACACCGTGGAAACGGTCCGTTCATCGTTCGACCAGGTACAAACAAAAGCTGTATATTACGTGTGGAAAAGACAATGCTATTTTGGTTGTACGAAAAAATCCATCACTACTATCATAGTTGTTTTTATTCCACTTCATAAATGGCGCACTCGCGATAGAACTTAAATTTTCGGTAAACCCTTTGCGACACCTGAGTTCTACGACGCCCGCTGTGGAGTAGTTCTTTTGCAAACTCCGCAGTTAATCAATATTTACCCAAGCATCCTATATGTAACCTTATTGTACCCTGTCTTGTTTTCCGCCATGAGATACAACTTTCATCGATCGAGCGGTGTTTCTCAATCAGGAAACGTAAGCATCAGCAGGGAACGGAGTAAATCAGAAAAATGCTCAAGACAGGAACTATGCTCTTTGAAAGTAGACATGAAACTATGGCCTAGAAAAAGAATCATCTGATGCCATTAAGATCGGTCCACTGTAGTCATCTCTGGGCTCTTAGGGTCTGTACAGAATCACTGTAGGATATGGGTACTATGCTAGTGGAACAGAGAAAGTCAATGCCAATAAAAACGAATCGCTTCAGAGAGCAACATCACTTTTGTTAACTCTATAATGATGGAGCTCCGTTTCCCGCAAATGGGGTGAGGTCATTGACCAAAGACAAAAGCGCAGTGCTGTTCCCCCAAAAACCAGAACACCATTTAAAAGTGCTAATAACGATCGAAGTTTTTGGAAGATCGGTAATAAAACCTTTTTTGTAAAGGAAACTACTCACAAGGTTACTGAAAATGCTTCGACATCCCATGACCGGTTTCGCCCTTCTTGGGGATCATTAGTTCCTAGGCGTAGTTCCCGAGCTTCCGTCAACCTGATGTTCTACTTGAACCCAAATTGGACTGATTTTGACAAATACACTCATTTGCAAATCAGTTTGGTTTTCACGGGAGACTCAAGTGATTCACTTGATCTGTTCGACTGCATGGTGTTAGCCCAATCCGATTGCGCAGGGAGTACGGCATTACTGTTACACTCCTGATGCGGCTGCGCACAGTAGATGCCTTTTGAGCATCACCGAACTATTTGGTTTCAAATGTATTTCTACTGTATTGAGTAATTGCCGGCGGTACCTTTTTTGTAAAGGAAACTACTCACAAGGTTACTGAAAATGCTTCGACATCCCATGACCGGTTTCGCCCTTCTTGGGGATCATTAGTTCCTAGGCGTAGTTCCCGAGCTTCCGTCAACCTGATGTTCTACTTGAACCCAAATTGGACTGATTTTGACAAATACACTCATTTGCAAATCAGTTTGGTTTTCACGGGAGACTCAAGTGATTCACTTGATCTGTTCGACTGCATGGTGTTAGCCCAATCCGATTGCGCAGGGAGTACGGCATTACTGTTACACTCCTGATGCGGTTGCGCCAAGTGGATGCCTTTTGAGCATCACCGAACTATTTGGTTTCAAATGTATTTCTACTGTATTGAGTAATGTGCCGGCGGTCACGGTCAAACGTTGAACGATCAGATTGTGCGGATTTTAGAGCCGACCTTTTCCAACTCGTACTTCCTCTGGGTAAGGTAGAATAGCTGATTCCATGAATATGAACATGTTGGTGTTCTGAGGGAAAGACCTTACTGCCTTCACACTCCTAGCGCAGAGGATAGTACGACTTTGCTCTCCAGACCGCCTCGTAGCACGTTTACTTGTGATACGGGGTCCCACTGCCCTTGGTGCCACTGCTCCCCTTTGGTATTTTTGGCATGGTCTCGCTTTGTGGAATGAGGTTCCAGCCACTGTAGCAGTCGGTATTTTCGCAGCACTGAAGCCCAACTGCCCGGTCAAGGTGGCAGCTTAGGCTGGGATCCGCCAGATCAGCGGATGGTTGACTGCATGCTAATAATGTGGAATCCTGACCAGCTATTCTGAGTATAGATCTAAATCTGGGAACACCGATACACTGGCTTGGCGATGTAGAAAATTTCGTCCGAAAGATGTTATCACAGCACTACTTATTTTGGTAATCCAAACTGCAACCTGCAGGGAAAACGGATAGCTGAGGACTTCAGCCGCTTAGAAAAAAGACAGAGTTTCCAATTGTGAGGCTAGGATGTCACAAGAATATACCCAGATTTCCGTACCCTGGACGACAAAAGCTACTCCCAGGTTTGTCTCCCTGTACATCAACGAAGCATATGGACAGTAGACTGCTGACAGGTGCCACAATGCTCTAACACACTACTAGACACACATTTCTAGACTGAAACGGCCGCAAAAATGGTCGGTTCAGAGTCAATTAATGAGCCTCACTGAGCCCATAACAGTTTTACGAGTGGAGGCATTGCACGGTGTCATTTAGACGGTCATCTTTGATGGCGCTGATCACACATGCGCTTGAGCTTCGCAGTTTCACATCTCTCCCTTGGTCTTCCATAATTTCATGCGCATTACATGGGCTAACTTCTTCTATCAAATCTACCTATCTTCACCATTGATTCAAATAGGAACAATCAGGTGGCTAGAGGCTAGAAAATTCCACAGATTGTAGAACACTCACCACCATAGAAGGGCTCGCTTCTTATTCTGACAGCCTTCAGTGAATGAACCAGTGAGTCACACCAATGCGAGTCACAAGAATCACTCAAGCTATGTGTCAAAAGCATGAGATTGCCAGCTGAAAACGAGTAAAGATGGCTGTTCAATTCGAGCGCGGGTTCTTTTTCAATATGTGTACTTTAGCCTTTCACTACAAAGATTACAGTTTCGTATGATATACTGATTCGAACGTTTTTCAAACAAAAAGTGTACCTTAACACTCACCCTGTCTTCTGGTGTCCATTTACGTATATTCTTCCCATCGTACATGAATCGCGCTACGGTACCTGCGACGGGCACTACGAAACGGTTAAGAAAAATGAAGAAATGTTTTGGAACAGAATCGGGACATCGCACAAAGGTAAGCTCATCTAGCTCCAAGGAAAATCTCTACCCTCTTGATAGGAATGATCCTTAGTAACGATCAGTAATATCCAAGAAGGGGCCTCTTACCATTCGGAGTCATAAAGAAAAGATGAAAGGAGTACCTATGACTGCCTTCAATCACGAAATGCGAGCATTCTAATGGTCAAACTAAGACACTGGAGAATTATGGGAATATCTGAAAGATCTACCCTCTTCTAGGGACTTTCATTCACATTTATATGCTAACCAGCCTTAATTCCAGTGAGAAGGGTAGCTTGAGGCCGAGATATTGTTTACAGTCCAGCTGTTTTTAGGAGTAGTACAGCGCTTAGACTTTTGCTGGAAGTGCTGCGCTCACCAGGCAACTCGCTTAATGTAGTTCAGAATCAATATGTCATCCACGTCACTGATTTCCGCTCAAGCTCCTCTGTTTAGAAACGAATAACTGCATCTTTTGGCGTAAACGCCGACTATCACCATTCTCAAATGTCTAGTCCACATCTTCAGCCCACTTGCAACACCATGCTTCTCAGACTTATAGGAATCTCGCAGATAACTGAATTTTGATTTTTCCCTCTGTTTCGAAGATTAGGGGAGCAGCACGAGAAAACCGTCAGTATGATAAGCTAATACACTTGTGGGATATCCACGGTGTGAGCCAGCGCAGCTGATGATTGTTGCTTATCTTTTTACCTAGTTTAATTACTAACCGTAGTGGCTGCGCCCGGAAAGCATCCAATGTCCTCTTGCGGTTTATTCTTTTGCTATAAATGCGCAGGCTTTAGCTGACATATCAGGACATGTTGAGTCCATGCAGACCTTCCGGTAGGAACGGTAACTTTGAACAAAGATACGGCGTTTATAACTGCTAAATTTGAGTCGATTGATGGAGGGCACCAAGTAGCGTGCTGACGACAGCGAGGCCTAGAGATTAGGCTGGATAGGAACACTCGGTTTTCATTACACGAATGTTAAGTATTTTTGAGGCCATGAGGAGGACTGAATTGACACTCACAAGGACCCAAATGACTCATCTGAGCTTCCAACCCTCCCATAAACAGTACTATTTTGGCCGAAGTTGTTCGCCGAAGGAGGTCATGTATTTGAGCGGATGTCTCATCCACGGCAAGTGGTTGGTGACACTGCAATCAATCAGTGCATTACAAGTGATAGGTGAGTTACGATATCCCCAAGGTACCTTACGTGTTTCAAAAATTCAACACTGTGTGTGAATTGGTTCTTTCACTGACCAAAAAGCACGCAACTGCTCGCGAATGCAATTTCAGCGACATGCTGTGTAACACGCCGGTCATACTGTAACACGAGCTCCGTCCAGCACCTACTGTGTATCACCGTACCTCATGGATTGCTCGCCAGTGAGATTCGAATTTTCGGGTTGGCGAAAATGGTCAATGATCACCTCCCCCCTCAAAATCCCAGGTCCATACCTTCCCATAGCTTCTGTTTCAAAGATGGACTGTGCATCTACACAAATTCTACCTTAAACTCCTGTAATCCCTATTTTCGAATAATTTGGCTTAAAATCAGTCCTGCACAATGTTTTCATCGATATCCAATTGACAATTATGCGTCCTGTCTTTTCGTGTCAGTGATACCCCATACTTTTAAGATAAAAGGCGACCGGAGTTTGCCCCCCATATATTTTATTTAGACCACAAGGCCGAGCTATTTTCCACAACCCAGCTTTTCTTATCTAGCTTGCCTGCCTTCCAGTCAAAGTTCCGGACCGTGCGAACTGAAAGGTAACTTTCTCATGCTCGTGGCATTGTAAGCTGTAGATGGTGTTTTGGATACGGCTCCAAGTGTACCAAGTCGGAGGCAAGTTATAACAGCGCATCCGCAACGAATGTTTGCCGAATGGTCCTCAAACTCGGCTTTATGCCGCACAGGCCAAGTGGTCTATTTCTAATTCCTCCTTTGCCAAATCACCAACATCATTATCATCAGTAAGGCGTTCCTGTTAACAAGCGGTTTGTGGTGTTCTTGATTAACGTAACTACGAATGAATAGATAGACGCGTAAAAGCGAAATTCGCTAGCAAGTCAGGGAACCTGGGAATATAGATAAAGGCCTCATCAATGTCTGCGATACTTTGCCTCTTTCAAAAGCGTATAATATTATCGGAGGGAGCTGTTATCCGGTTTCCAACTCAATGGACAACATCCACCAGTCCTACAAGGTGGCGCGACAGTGACTTCCATAGCACGAGATCATGTTGTTTTCTGATAATCACGCAGATCTTTTTAGTTTGGTTGAAGCCACGCTTAGTTCTGCCAATTTAGTCGCAAAATATCGTATAACTGCGGTAAACAACTTGTACAGCCCGCACGCCTCACAGACAGTCTGCGTCAGTGCGTTTTTGCGTAAGTATTTAAAATTACTCAAATCTTGGAGAGTGAAGAGCTGGAGCCATGTTGTTTGTGTTGGGTGTGTTCTAAAAGATTGCTCGCCCAAACCCTACCGTGAATGAAGATTCATGGCCCGGAACTTGTATAATCAATCTGTCACGCAAAGAGTTTGATAGATTGTCGCAGAAATCTGTGTGGCCTTAGTGCATCCGATGAAGCAACATACGAGACTAAGGCGGATGAACGGACGAACCGACCAGTGGGTTGGCGGTTAAGCACGTTATCTCAGAGTCGTCAACTGTAGTGTGTCACCTCCATCAGATGCACGGAGGACTTAGATAACTTTGCATGTTTTATGCTTCAAACAGTCGGGAGCCATATTCGCTTGACACTTGGCTGGCGACTAACTACCGTTTAGTGTCAATTCATATTGCTTCACCGATGAACACGCCACAGATAATCACCATGGACAACTTGTGTGATCGTTATTTTCTAGCCTGCATCCGAGCAAAATGCTGGTGACCAGTGGACCGAACAAGTGGAGTGAGTAGCTGTGCTGTCCCCACGTGAACAATGGGGATCTCTAACAGAGAGTCAGGTTACTTGACATATCCGTACCATGATGATGTGCTCCACTCGAACCAAATTTATCCGCTTCATCTGTACATCTGATATTAATGAATCCTCTGTAACTCACACAATTCAACGTATCTGATTATGCTCCAAGTTTTGTTTACATCCCGTTGTTTGACGTCCTACTTACTGCTAGAGTAGCAAATAAAACTCACGAAACGTACCGCGCAAGAGCAACTATCGTTTACCAATGAAGGCATAGTTTTAAATCCCGAATCCACTCTAATGGAAGATTCTTGGAGGCCAAGACGCAATACAGTTGTGGCAAATGAAGGTGACTACGATCAGACTGGGGGCTGTGGGATTTTCGTGCGTTCTTAACCGATCCCAGTGGCGTTCCTACCACCACGCTACAGCTCCTCACAGTGTCTAGTTAGCTTATCTGTCTATGGGTGGGGTCTGCAAAAGTCATTCCCATTGTTAATGTCTTACTGCGATATGGCATCCAAAATTGCTTATTTCGTTTCTGGTCCGGAGTGTCGGCACGTTGCTCTTGGTCGTTCTCCCCAAATTACATGGGACTTTTCCACCAAGTCTCTATTCATTGCCGTTATTTTTACTCTTTATTGGTGGCGTTCATTCCTTATGGTTGTTTGGTAGTCAAGTACCAGTATTTTCTACTTGTTTATTACTTGTTGACGAAGACGATGACGATAGGTTCAAGACAACCTGCAAATAAAATCATGGGAAAAAATTCCGTGGCAGCAAGTAGGCCATCCAGATAACCGATCAGACCTTGTATCACAGTACTCTACTGGAAATACTACAGCCGACAGCATCGTCCAGTTAAATACTTGATACTTTCCGTAAATGAATGACTGGTGATCGGAATAGGAGCAAGAAATATCCTCTAAAATGAATCCGTTTGCGGCACACCTGAAGTATACGAAGAATTATGGCTAACTTTCCTAGTGTAGTTGTAGCAAGCTCCTACGCGTAGCTGGCTGTTTCTGCTTTTAGTTAACACACACAAGCTGATTCGGAATCTCTTCTTGCTAAGCGAAAGGTGATAGAACAGGCAGTGGGCGGCTTCGAGCGAAAGCTGAGTTATCCACTTCTGTTTTTCCCTCGTTAATTTCGAGGCTAACAGAAGGAGCTATTTACTAATTATCTGATCTGCCAGTCAATAGCCTAAGTTCATTGTGTCGCACTCTTTTCATAAGAAACAGAACAAAAAGGTCAATATTTAGGTATGTTTCTTTTCACTCTGATAACCATTTTAGGAAGCCAACTCCATATAACTACAGCAATGACGATACCTGTTTTCAGAAATGGAGAACCTCCCATTCAGATGCGCTGTGTCATTTACTGGTCGACCGTAACAAGATACAACCGTTGTTTCTGCCAAATTACCCGGTCAGGGTACCGGCTTTTATGCACGAGGATAAACAGTCTAGAAATGATCAGTGTTGGAGGTGTAGGAAGACCACACAACATGTTGGAGTTATAAGTTAGATATCAAGATGAAGTAATGCACCGTTACTCAGTATTTATCGAGCTCTATACAATTGACATGTGAGAATGCGTTTCTGACACACATATTCTCGTTTTTGGCTCTTATTCGAGTCCAAGAACAATATCCGCCTTCACCGGAAATGAGAAACCCCGGCACATGCTACTGATGCACTGTCATAGTTCTATTGAGTTTTGAGTACACGCTCCATCCAAAAAAACACCAAATTTTCGTTAAACAGATGCAGAAGATGCAGCGGAAACCTCTTATTCTTCGTCTCTCCAAAGAGGATACACATTCCGTTACAGAGATGATTACGTATCTCTATGGATGGTTCCTTGTGGTCGGAATATTTTGCCTCTGAAAGGAAAGAGAATGTATCTATTCACTGAACTACAGTGGCTTGAATCTGTAATAGGGTGAAGTTTTTGAGGGTATTAAGCCATGTGCAAAAAAATGTACGGAAAGAGGACCAACAGTAGACAACAAACTTCAAATTTTTTAGAATTTGCATGTTCTTCTGGCTATCCCGAGAGCTTAGTGTCGCCTGTATCGATTAAATTGTACCATCGCCTTTGTTAGACGGTGTGATATATCCTGGTTGTCTAGGCCGAAGAGGATGGGCTGAAGAGGTTTCACCTGGAGCCCAACGGTATTACCCACAAGTCAGCAAGATTACACGTGTTCACGGTTCACTGGAAGCCGGTGACTGTAACTCGATTCATGAACTCGTTAAACCAGCCGCTCAAATTATCCAGTTTGGCTTTTGGTCAGACATCCGCATGCCAACAGCTACTTTTCCGATCTCCCTGATGCGCTCCCAGCCAACAGTCCTTCGTTGGCGATTTGAAATTAGAAGTGAACAGTTGACTCCGTTGAAAAGTAATCAGGATTTTTCATGAAGGAAACTACTCACAAGGTTGCTGAAAACTCTTCGACATCCCACGACCGGTTTCGCCCTCCTTGGGGCTCATCAAGTAGGCGCAGTTCTCGATTTTCCGTCGACCTTATGTTCTACTTGAACCCAAAATGTTTTGCAAATGAGTGTATTTCTCGATAATCAGGTTTTTTTTACCCAGCTATGGTGCCACGCACCTCCACCAAAGGAAAGTACTTAGTAGCAAACGCGATATAATCAGCAAGTCTCGTTGGCGTATTTCAAGGGGGGCTGCCAACCGTCTTATAAGATTCGTCCAACAAACATCCACTTTCGAAATTAATGGAATGGTTGAAGGGGTACCTAATGTTATGAATGTTATGTACAAAGGTTAACCTTTGAATAACGCTATACACAAATGCAATAAAACAGAGGGTCTTCACAGTCACATCAATTTCCCGATCCGCGGCGTTGAGCATTAACCATCGCACATCACATTTGCTTCCAAAGCAAGCAGGGGCGCAAAGCAACCACAATATACGGTATAAACTGAGAAAAACGACTCTAAAGAGCTTCTGTGACGACTCACGAATGAAGGCAGAAATGGTGGCACATGTACAAAGGACCACCCTCAAAGCCCATTGTTTAGAGTCAAGGTAGTGGTGAGAAACATTGGTGACGATCGCAAAGTAGACCAGGCCACAACAGTACAACAGAGCGGCTCCTGTGAGATGAACAGCCCAAACAGCAGTTTCCTGAAATTGAGGAAGTAAACAGGAAAACGGATTAGATTGTCTATTCAAAGCAAGTGCTGACTTATTTGTCCTATTTTCGTTCTTACTTTGAATTCTTTACTTAGAAGTGGACATTCAAACGTGTGCTCAAAAGTTTTTGTTGGATTTTCGGAGAAATGAAGGTACAGGCAGGAGGGAAAAGTCGTGGGGCATAAAACCAGTGGTCATATGAGTGATCCTCGCTTCATGTCAGTCAAGGTTTTGAATGAGTTCATCTAGATGGTAAGTGAAAGAGTTGAAATATCAGACCGAGCATGGTGTCCCAAGGTAGAAGTGGATAGAGTGATTGCTCCATATACATTACTCCTGTGCACTGTCTGGATATTTTTGGATGATGAATTTGGAAACGTATTTGGTGTTGGTAAGTACGCTGCTGCTAGAGTTAGTAGAGGAAGACAACGTCTTCGGAAGCTGCCAGTCTCGCTCAGCAACAAAGCCAAGAGTTTTCGGTGGCTCTAGATCGATGTAGCAACGGAGAGCCCGCGTCAGTTAAGGTGCTTCCTTTGAGTTAGGTTGAGAGTATTCCGTCCAGCTCTATTACGTTACTCATAGAACTTTCCTAGTACTTATTGCTAGGTTCACCTCTCCTAACCTGTCTCATCGAAAAACTGGTTGCTTTTTTAATGACCATTAACACTATTTTTCAATGACGAACACCGAGGAAACATCAAGTCTCTCGTTTTTAAACAAGACTTCGGCTTTGACATACAATGATTCCTGGTTTAAGATAAGTTCTCATGTGAAGTAAGGTCTTCGGTATTGATCGTAATTAGTTTACCCCTTGAGCGAGGGAACTTCGCAAAAATACACAGAACAGAACAGAATGGAATACACTGAATCAATACACAGCTTGTGGGACTTGAGCATCCGGTGAATTACCTTCCATTCTCCAGCCCAACCTACCTAACCTGAGTACGCATTATCCAAACAGCCCGACAGTATTCTTTCAACAGGGATATTGCGCGTGACCTAGTTTTAGTGAGTTCAATCGATCCTGTTTCGTTAGGCAGTAAGTTGTTCGGAGGAGACTAGGTCGAACAAAGAATAATTTCGTGTCACGTGGAAGCTATTTCCGAGGAGGACAGTTGCAGTGTCAAACTTGCTCAGTTTTGATGAGAAGTATTAGCTGTGTTACCGAAGCTGAAAGCTAGTTGACATTTACGGTCGTGGTTCGTTTACAAGGTACATGCTGACGATGACAACAACAGGGGATACGTAGTGTTGCAATGGCTTTCAATCGGTAACCAGACTACCAGCAACAGTCTTGTAAGTCCAACACTTCTAGTTCTCACATTATGCCTTTGAGCATGAGGAAATTGAGTGGGAGTATAGTAAAAAAAGTACGAGTGGAATCTACACAAAAACGGTCTTTGAGACTCAGAAATGATATTAGCTCTTCAATGACGTTCAAGCAGACCAAACCACTTTTAGGGAGGGTTATTCTACAGAAAATGTCGTTTTGTGTCCTCTGCGAAACGGTTTCCTAAGCAAACATAGCATGGGAAAATCAGCGCGCTAGCATTTTCGTCCATCACCTTCCTGGAGGTCCAACTTACCTGGAAATTCGCAACTAGTGAAATCCCCAACGATGATAGTAGGCCAAAACCCAGAGCAGTACGACAACGACAACGCATTAGTGGTCGCAGGCCGACAAGTAGTCGAGCATTCGCTTGTTTGTACCAGAGGTATGCGCTCACTGCACCTAAAATGGGTTTGAAATCGAGAGTACGTATTTAAGTTCAAATCACTCTGGTTTAAACAGTTCTCATCCCGTCTGACTTAATTATTCTGGTGAGTCCACACCAAAAAGAAGAGAACACTGGACGAAAGTTTCATTGAAAATCATCAACAGTGCCCTTGGCTGCACCGGAGTTCAAATACCGGATACCTGATATGCGACGCAAACGCGTTACCACTACACCAGTGGCGCACGTTGGACACACCTGGACATCACGAAAATGTTCAAGCTTGAGCCTCACTGCATGGTTGGCTACCGTGTAACTAAAGGGTTATTTAGTACAACCCAAACAAACCTGAATTGTATGACGGAATTAAAAATGACAGAGCAGTGACTGGTCGTGTTGGACCGGGAGCACAGGAACCAGAGTGAACAAATATGAGTCCAACTGAGCGTTAGCCAGTTGCCAGATATAGGAATGGTGTCTAGAATTAAGCTAGAACAAACAAAGGGACCCATTTTAAACAGCTGAGTAAAACCTAACAGTTAGAAAACGTTAAGTTGTGTGTATACGAGCAGGAACCCCAATCTGGCTGCATATTCGGTATAAATTCACTGCTGAAAAGTTTACGCATGGCCAAAGTGAAGGGGCGGGCGTTTTGTAATGTTCGATAACAGAGGCCCTAAACGGGTAGAATGGCAGTTAGTCACCCGCCTGAAGTAAATCATCTACAGGTCACTGGCTACAAATAGGGGTGGAGGGTGCGGTAGCTGCCACGTTCACAGAGCAAGCGCCCTATCGCATTTCCTGTTTTGATACTGACAGACAATTTCATTGGCGAGCGCTGTTGGAATCCTAGTCAGACGGACTGTATGTGGACGCGCGGACACACGACACACATGACTGTCATCCTGAATGAGGTCAAAAGGTCACATTCGGCGGGAGACTGATTGCCAGGTCGGCTGTTTATTGTGATTAGTGAAACAGCTAATCGCAATTCCGCTTGACAGTTGATCTGCTAACTCAGCTTAGCAATCAGCTTGCCTGGAAACATCACAAACGAGAGATTCAGCAGGGTCCATGTGTTGGCGAGCGCTGTTGGAATCCTAGTCAGACGGACTGTATGTGGACGCGCGGACACACGACACACATGACTGTCATCCTGAATGAGGTCAAAAGGTCACATTCGGCGGGAGACTGATTGCCAGGTCGGCTGTTTATTGTGATTAGTGAAACAGCTAATCGCAATTCCGCTTGACAGTTGATCTGCTAACTCAGCTTAGCAATCAGCTTGCCTGGAAACATCACAAACGAGAGATTCAGCAGGGTTCCATGTGAGTCCCTCGAAAGACCAAATTAGTTTGCAAGTGAGTGTATATTGGCCAGCTTGCAAATAGTTCGTCCATGAAATAATCATTATAAGCGTGCGCGCCGGAGCTACCATTATTTTGACGCAATACCATCGGTTCGCCCAATATGGAGTTAGAGTTCCTACTCGTCGAAAGAAGCACTTTTACAACGGTCTGTTCAGATTTTATAAAGATATTCCCATTGCAATTCATTGTAGATACGGCCAACTGTTGCCCGCCTCTAGAAGGAAATGTTGCTGTAACGAAGAGAAAGATCTGGATTATTTGTTGTGACGTAAGAGTACGTTCAAGATCCCTCGACCGATAGGTCAGTCGTTCAAAAAACAGGAGGCCAAAATTTAGAGCCCAGTCCGACGGCGTTTATCTTTCCATTTCGCTATGCATGTTTGCTTATTCATTCAAGAGTGTACAAGTCCTTTTACATATCACTTCGCATCAATAAACCTTGAGCGGGTGATGATGACTGGCCGAATGCCAGGCAACGAGTTTACAGATGGAACCGCCAGTTACTAACTGTGAAATTCACTAGGGGGGATTAGCGAATCAGTTTGGAACTCAAGTTGCAACGTGCAAAGTCGCGCAGTCAAGAAGTTCGGTCATCCATCCGACGACCTGGAGATCGCGCTTTTCTCTTCCGTTTGAGCATGTTGTGTTAAAATCCCTCATCACCAAAGAACTTATCGACTTCGGTCTAAAGTCACCATAGTGAAATGCTATTCGGATGAAAGAGTGCCCCACTATTGTCGTCTGTGTTTTGATAGAATTTGCGGGATGTGGGTGAAAATAGCCAAGGATCGATACAATAGGTACAGCAACTTGAATGAATGGGTTTTGGACGACAGGAACTTGGACTGAGCCGACTATATACACGGAGATTCTATCGAGCCGGTGAAAACTCGAATCAGGCGATAACAAAAGCCATCATCCAAAAAAGTATGAGAAAATCCTTTCACTGCATTTGCGCGGCGCTAACACCGACTGTGAATGCGCGAAACTTGATCCGTTTGGAGCTCACACTCTCAAATTACGCAAGCCTAACTTAGCGCTCAGACAGCCTCCCTATTAACAATTTAATGCAATGTTTGAAAACCCACAGCCATTCCGGACAGGTTCAACAACCTGTTAGTTGAAGGACTCTTTCGAACTATGTCGGATTTTTGACACATTTTCATCGATATTAAGCCCATTAGTCTTGGCGTACCCGTTAGACTGATGGATTTTTGTGACACTGATGCGGATATCAACCTGCCTTTCTGGAGGATGTTGTCTTGCGAGCAGAGAATATTCGTTTTGATTTTGAAGGTGCTTATCGTGAAACCGATGGAGTTGTGTGCACAGTCATTTAGACCTAATGCGCGCTAAGGTATTCTTGGGCTACGATGTAGAAGCAATTTGTCGAGCACACCGAGAACTCCATATAATGCGAACTTTATTTTGAGGAGTGCGTAATTCTTAACATCAGTAACATCGACAGCATAGCATCAATGCTCAGCACTTATGCTTGGACGCCCTATTGCGAAAAAAGATAAAAGTGGATGGAAAGGGCCCACCATATTCATTCCGAGGTGCCTTACCCTCAGACACTCACTCAGGCAATCTGGATGGAAACTGCCAGCGGGAATGCCAGTGACATGAATTGGCAACTGTATCTTGTAGCGTCTCCATCCAGGCATAGTAGGGACTACTTGGTCCCCATCTTAGAAGACCAGATGCACCGTCACATCTTTCATACCCCAATGCCATGTCAAAGGTTTGCCACATCTGTGCCTCCGCCATTCTGAATTTGGCTCGGAAAACAACACTCATTTCGGCAAGCGATGATTTGGCATATATAATACGTGGTATAACCAACGTAGCTTTTGGTGTTACACACATTCTTCGATGGAAGTCCTTGTCACACGACCGGACATTCGCTTTCTAACTGCCTCGTCACGGATTCGCTGACACCAACTCACAAGAGCTATGACTCCGAGACAATGGCTGTAGAAGGCCGGGAGAAGTCTCATTTCTGCTGTCCGAACAGGCCACATGTCGCAGTCATACGAAACAGCTCGCACTGAAGCCTGATGCACACGTCCCTTGAGGTTGAGATACATGCCGCTTTGACGCCATAGATGTTTCAAAGGTCACCCATGCCCTGGAGATTCGTACATTTACCTCATCTGTCACACTGCAATCGGAACTAATGAAAATTCTAAGATACTTAAAACGCTCCACAAACTCGAATTCCTCGCGGGATTTTAAGGGAAGTGCTCAATAACTGAATGTCCGCAAGCATGACCTTACATGCCAGTTCATCCAAAAACATCTGCGTCTTTTTCTCCTCCTGCTCTAAGACGACAACGATTTCGTCTGTACTTTCCAGATTGACAAGATACTCGTCAGCAGCAGTCTGGATACTAGGGTTTTGAACATATTCCATCTTTCGTCTCCTTATCTTGTTCATCATAAAAGCAGTCAGGAATGGAGAGACTGGACGCCTCTGACGGACACCGCTTTGTTTATGGAAGCTTTCGGAATGCTCTTTGTGTACAATTACGCATGCGGAAGTCCGAGAAGACAAATAACTTATTATGTTCACAAACGTCCTGGGCATTCCTCGCTGGGTGAGCGTGTCAGTGAGACGAGACCGGTCATCCCAGTCGGATGCGCCTTGATAATCCAGGAATTCTGAAATTGTGGGCCATCTATACATGTGGTGTTATTCTAGCACCCCATTAAGTGTGAAGATTTGATCCATGCAGGCCCAACCGGGCCGGAATCAAGTCATAAGGCGACGATGGAGGACTAACACCAAGGGTGTCTTTGCGACTGTGATTGCGGTACTAATCGTGAATCTCCTTTTGGAAACGAGCACCATCACCAGTTCTCCCCAGTTTTCTGGGACAGTCTCCGTTTTCCGGACGCACGCAAATTGATCAGACAAGCACTTACTGAGGACTCCATCCTTGTCATTGAACAATGTGGGTAGGCCATCCGAACCAAGAACCTGGGAGAGATTGAGGGAACATATGCAGCCATCAACTTTCGCGGCCGCGGGAAATTCCAGGTTCATCGTCCAGGATTGTACTTCAACTGTAGGCTCCGGATGAATGACAGCTGATGGCCAGGTGCATTGTTGCTCAAAGTTCTCGGCTGAGCGGTCTGGGCGTCCTCTATTGACAATGGTCACGCTACTCCGATCCTTGATGGTTTCGCTCCCAGGCCGTTTCCAGCGGGTACTTATACGTGTCAAGTGAAATAACCTCAGGGCATTCCGGGCTTTGTGGACCTCTTCCATTTTCTCGGTCTTGCGTGGGTTGGCGCGCATGCGCACTTTTGATTGACATCTGATAAACATTCGGACCAGCTTATGTTCGGGACCGGCGGGAACAGCTCTCCGAGATCCAGGCAGTGCCGCTGTTCTGCCTGATATCTAGTGCTTGATTGGGCATAGTAACATCCTCCCTGGGGCACATCTCCGAGTATTGTGCAAGGTCACTTGTGGCGGTTGCTTTCCAGCACTACCGACGGTGGTGTAGGTGAAAGAGAGTCCAGAAGACGATTATAGTAGATTCGTATAACTTTGGTATCTGTCGGTCTTTCAGTTGCTAGGCTATTTATCTGCACCTTACGCGGCCTTCGGAAATGAAGGAAGAAGCTACTCCGGAGGAGCTCGTGGTAGAATTAAAAAAAAAAACGCGTTCGAAACGAGGGGCAGTCAGTTATCGATCCATGCCAACTGATGGCAATGTGACCAATCTGAGTTCGTAGCCGGAATGTTGTTGAAGGATACCATGTGGACAGACGATTTCGGCTATTCAGTAGGTTAGTACTGCATAGAAGCAGTCTGTCAGCAAACAAGTGAACCAGTCGTTTATCGTTGTCCGTACTTACCGAGCCCACTCTCTCTCGACCGTCTGTCTGCTTAATAGTGCCACCACAGCGATATCTGAACTTTAAGTCTGCCGTAAGAGGGTGCTCAATGTGTTCGAGCTACAGTTCGGGCGCAAAACAGACTCGACAAACAGACATTGCTCAGTTTCTTGCTTCTAAGACTCCTTCACAGAAGTTGCCGGATAAATCGCACACAAGCGACTGTCAACAAATAGCCAGTCAAGTAAGGGTCCTTCCGGTCGGTGACTTAGGACGATACCAACCAATATGCATCCTGCCGCAGCGGTATGTGGAACACCAGAAGTGAGTAGAGAATGATGGGGCAATTGGCTCAACTACTGTGCCCCAATCTTGATCACTTGTTTCCGATACACAGCACACGTCAATATCAAGCAATTCCAGTGTGCGAGCAAGAGCAACTTGTTATCTAGCTTGCTTCAGTGTTCGGACATTGAAAGAAGCCAGATATACCGGGCTTCGGCGCTTGAAGATTGTACTTGGGCTGGGCTACTGTCATGGCACCCATAGCTAGTCAGGAGTACGGTTAAGGATCAAAGTCTCCAACTCAAAAGCCTGACCATAAGGCACCGGTTCTAGACGGAAAATATGAGTACATTAACGTTTTTCAAGAATAAGTTGAGGTTCATGTTCTTAACATCAACCTGCTGACCTAGAGGATCGTGTTGGTAAGACCATTAACCAGTGACTGTTTGGAATCAGAAACTTTGCTGATGTCGTAAGAACATTCCGGAGTGAAGCTCAACACAGACCCTCACATCACTGAAACGCCCAGTCTCTTCGTGACGGTGCGCATTTTATGCATTGTTTTGGATGCGTTAAACAAAATAACCCGAAATTTATCCGAATCTTACAAGAGATTTAATCAGGAGTTTAGCCACCTTAGGTGCACTACCAAGTAGACGTCCAAGAAACTCGTAATGTGTACCGTAAAACAATGTGGGTTGATCAGTATGCCTCATATAAACATGACTTAGTCCAGCACTGCACATAGTATGATAAACTAAAGAAAAAGAATATTTGAAATTTCTGGCTTTAGAGAATGACCAACCGGGAACAATTCGTCGGTATGTACAGTCTACAAACACATCGAGCGGAATTACTTGTCATTATCCAAAAGGCGGAAGTCTTTTTATATTTTCCAATAAAAGAGACCAGGTTTTTGCAGAGTCCGACAGAAACCAACAGCTTCTCTTGATCGTTTTTGTCTCATTGGACAGCTAAAGGAAACTCCGCCCGCTTCAGAAGGCCTTATTAGACAATCGGTAGGTTTTTAACTGGGCAACGTTTCACTTTTGACACATTTGGTCTAGGAAGCTGATCGCCAATTTGGTCAGGTTTTAGGGCAGACGGAGAACCAATCAGCAAGACCCCTTCCGATTAGCACACAGCACACAGTCCCGTTTCCGGAATCGGAGAGCACAAGAAAGCCAAACTGGTCATCCAGAAGCGCAGATGCATATCGAGCGTTGCTAAAAAACTCAACAATGGCGAAACATGCACTGGACACGGGGCACAAAATAGACTTAGAAAATGTTGAAGTTTTCAGGCGGGACTACAGTTCACGCCACAGAGATTGATGGACGAGACGGTAGAAATCGCCAGGCATCTCATTGTCACTGAACTAGAAGGCGTAGAACAAGCAAGCGTGTGGAAACGGTTTTACGTCAGTCGAGCTGACACGTGGTGGTGTGCCGTTATCAGAAAGAGGAGTCGTGAGCACCCACCCCCACCACAGCCCTCAATCAGATTGTCGTAGCACTTACAAGTGGCACCCAAGTTGTATTATCAACTGAAGCACCTTGAACCGGATGGCTAGGAAAGCAAACCCGATAAAAATGACCTGAAATTATTCCAACCTATCAGCTGTAAGATTTAGACGACCACACTAACCGACAAGACTCGTTAATTGACATTTAGCAGTGATCCAGTGTTTTAATCGGAAGATGTCTTGCTGATTGGTTCGCCGTCTTCCCTAAAAACCTGGCCAAATTGGTGACTAACCCATTAGGCCTAATTAAGTTTTCGTGTCAAAAACGAAACGGTGCCAAGTTAAAAAACCACCAATCGTCTACCAAGCCCCTTTGAAACGAGGAATTATCAAGCGGTTACGAGTTATTTCCAATTGATTTAAAACTTCATCCGCTTTAGCCCTTACATTTCGTGCATCCCAGTCACGACCCATCTGCTGTCCGTGTTGTCTATCGGTTCGTTTGCAGTTATGGTGACAGTGATGCATAGAGGAGACAGACGTTCTCTCAAAGCATATCAGATCTCAAGTGAAGCGCGCACTGAAGCTGCAATCACTACATGGGCATTAGGTCACCCAAAACAGAGCGTTATTTCAACACTTAACCGTAGCCATCCACGAATCATGAGTGCTAATCTTCAGTAGGGTAGAGAACCAGTTTGTCGTACGCAAAACGCCTCCCAGTAGAGCACTAGTTTCGAATCGCCCATCCCGGTATTGGAGAGTTTTTAATTACATTGTGCATTGACGATAAAAAGCTGTAGACCTATGAACGTGGTTTACAAGGATAACCGAAGAAAGTGAACGGGATCTCAGCATCCGTTCTACGGTCAAGGCCCTCTGACCAAGTGAACTGTGTGAAGTCAGAGCTCGAAGATCTCGAAACTATCAGGCGAGTTCTGCTATTGTCAGATGCACAAGTTGTGCGACATCTCAGTGTGCGAAATTATTGATAGAGAACTCCAACAGGTCGAAGATCATGAAATTAGATCCCGGGTGAAAAAAATACTGAACGACCCTCTAACCGTGACAAATGCGATAGATGTCAATAAACATGAACCTGCATTTCTCTTCTCTTGACTGCTCTGAGCCATTTTGTGGAACAGCTTCAGGACATTGACGAATGTGCATTCAAGCGTAGTCTATGAGATCCCATACATTGAAAGCACCGGTTCTTTACGCAATACAAACGGCGCATTCATAATACAGAGTTTCTGAGTGAGTTTTAGCCCATGATTTGTCTCACATGACCTTCCAAGCGAACATTCTCCCTATATATATATATATATATATATATATATGGATAT